TGATTCTGCAATTTGTATTTGGGGTAAAAATGGGAGTCCATAACCCAATTGAGTCAAATGTATGAATGATGATATATCATGAGCTTTGTAATGTTTTGAACAACCAATAAAAAAAACAATTTATAGAAAAATAAACACTTCTTACATATAAAGAGTTGATTCATATATGAGAAATTCAAGTTAATCTACAATTAGATATAATTTTTACCTGTAATTTTGGTGAGGATCAAGAAGTTTGATACCTTTCACGAAGGCATGAAGATATAGACTCTCAAATATTGGAGAGCAATTTGTCAATATCCATCAAATTATATATCATATGACAGTTTATATTGATCCAAAACTCTACTTATAAAAAAATTAGTCCACATATATGTGAAATAACATATGTGTATTACTTAACTCAGACTTGTTTGTAATTGCTATTACAAAGATTGAAAACATCATAAATGTCTATAACTAGAGCACTGAGTAAAAAAAAGAAAAATTTTGCATGATACATTTGTTAAATGGAATGATACTGATCAGAAAAAAAATCTTTTAATGGCTTATAAGAAAGTTTCTTTTTGGATTTATGTTTGTGTGTGTGTTTTATTTTACATCAAATTGCCTATGTTTGGCTATTTTTTACTTTTAAAAATGTCAATCTTTAAAATAGTTAAATTTCTTTATAATATGTTGAATTTTTTTCAGAAAGTATTAAGTACACAAAATGTTAGTTTAATATTTCTAAGTCATTAGAAACTTTTCTTTTTTAACTTAGGGACTTCATTACTGACTGACATTCGAGAATCTGGTGACAACATATTGAAGATGATAGAATGTGGAGAGTACATTAATTATGTTGCTACCAGAGACACAACATGCCTTTCTTTTCTCATGAGCCTTCTCTTAAAGAATTCCTGCCCTGTGCTTCTCACAGGTATTTTTTAAAAATGTAAATGAAGGGGTATTTTAGAGTTAGGAGGAAATATTACTTGGTCCAAACATGTGAAATGGGAAAAAATAGGTCCTGAAAAGTTTTGGTGACTATATCAATTCACATCCTTACTAACAGTGTATAAAATGCCCATTTCCCTACATATTTTCTATTAGAGGACATTGTGAATCTTTTTCATCTTTTCATTACCTTCAGGAAAATTCTAGCAGTAGAACTACTGAGCAAATATATAACTGGTCTCCATAGCCTGCGGGCTGAGGTCCTTGGAGGTCCACTAATGGTAACATTGATTGGTTTAATTAAATCTACACATGTAATTCCTCAACTGGAAGCTAAATTTTTCACTTTTTTACTTTTACCAAAGGAATCACTCTATGGCTTCCATTGTTTCTGAACATTTATTTCAACTTAATCACCTTTTCCAGTTTTCTAACTTATATGGTCCATCACCAGAGGCAAGTACTATCATTTTCCCGGTTCCATATTCAAAGAATTCCAGCAGGGTGACTCTCAGGTAACCATAGCTTGCCTTTAATTTCATCTAAGGAATTATTATTTAGTGAATTATCAAGTCATGAGTCCCTGTTCTGCCTCAATAAAGAATTTATCATCAAATTTCTCCCTCCGATTGTCTTAGCAAATGTTCTCAAGGAATTTCATTTCATGTAGTATTTCTAGTGTGCTATAGGCAAAACAATTTGTGATGGGCTTAATGAACATTAGATAAAAATATATAGACAGTAGAATAAATCAGATATAACTTTCCTTTGCTCTTAAATGAATACACGACCAGTGTAAACTCCATATTATGTACAACTACAAGAATAGGATCCTAATTGGAATGGGTTGTACTATATGTATGTATGTCAAAATGCACTGTACTGTCATGTATATATAAAAATAACAAATTTTAAAAACCCATTAGCTCCTTATCTATTCTTTTGTAAAATATGTAAATAATGTAGACTCTGAGAAGGATACATATTAACTCACTTACCTAGCCAGTATCACATTTTAAAAAGGGAAAAGCAAAAACATACTTTTCAAGTAAATTTCAGATGAAGGAAAATGCTATTGTTTCCTCAGACACCTAGGCTAGAGGTCTAACTCTGGGGATCCAATAAACCAGGTCTGTTACACTATTAGTTCGTTTTAATATGTTAACATATGTCATTTTCTGGCATGTAATTCTAACCTAAAATATTTTTCCCTCTTAGGAGAATGTGGTGTTGGGAAAACTGCTACCATTAACCAAATGCTTGAAAAGTTAGAGAACTCCGGAGCATTTGATATAAAATATGGGTCAATTTTAGGAGATGTCCTATTACATAATGAGATCAAAAAATCAAGGTTGTATATATTACACTTTAAATTTTATTCATCTATTATTTAGATTCTATTTATAAAAAAATGTTGGCCTTAACATATGTGTGCCTTGTTTTTAAAAAGCAAATCTATGCAATGAATTGCCTGAAATTCTATCATGATATATTTCTTTTATTTTATACCTTTATTTTTAATAATTTTTATGTATTTTAATTAGGTATAATAACAGAATAATATTTTATTTAGTTATTTATTTTTATGTGGTCCTGAGGATCAAACCCAGAATCTCACATGTGCTAGGCAAGTGCTCCACCACTGAGCTACAACCCCAGCCCCATATATATTTCTATGTAATAAAAAAGTCACAAGGAAAAATTGCAGAATGATATATAAACTATGTGTGTAAAATATATGCAAAGAAAAAAGCCTGAAAGTAATGCACCAAAATGTTAAGACCATGAATAATTTTTTCTGGTTATCATTATTTTCTCAATGTTTTGTAACAAATGTTACTTTTATTAAACTAAAAAAAAAGTAAATCTATTATATAAAAAGGCAGAGTTATTCAAAAGAAGAATTTTCCTAATCTCCCCTTTATGTTTTCAATTTAAATGCTCTCACTTAAAAATAATAATTGTATATATTTGTGGGATGTATGTTTTGATATGCATTATGAAATGATTACTTCAGCTAATTAACACATCTATCACCTCACTACTATTTTTTAGAGTGAGAACATTTAATTTTTTTATTTGCTATATTGAAATAGGCAATACATTAGTATTAACTGTAGTCATCACTATGCAAGAGACCTTGAAATCTTATTCCTATATCTAACTGAACGTTGTTCTCTGACCATTCCCTCCCACCTCACCTCCTTACCTCTGGAAACCACCATTCTATCCTTTGCTTCATCTTTTTTATATTCCAAATATAAGTGAGATTATGCACTATTTGTCTTTCTGTGCCTGACTTGTATCTCTTGGCATAATGTCCTCCAGGTTCATCTATGTTGTCACAGATGACAAGATTTCATCCTTTTTAAGGCTGAACACCATTTTGTATACATACATTTTATTTATCCATTTATTCACTGATCAGTGGTTAGTGCAATATCTTGGCTATTGTAAGTAATGCTGCAGTGAACATTGAAATGTAGATGTCTATTCAACATACTGATTTCAGTACTTTGGGGTATATACCCAGAAATGGGATTGCTGTATCATATAGTAATTCTAGATGTAGTTTTTTGAGGAGCCTCCATACTGTTTTCCAGAATGTCTACACTAATTACATTTCTATGGACAGTGTACAAGGGTTCCTTTACTTCCACAGTCCTTATGATTTTCCTTTTCCTGATGACAAATGATGTTGAGTATTTTCCCATAAACCAATTGGCTATTTGTATGTCTTCTTTTGTGAAATGTGTTGTGACCATTTTTTAACTGTTTTCTTTTTATCTAGTAATTTGGGTTCTTTACATATTTTGGATACTAACTCCTTCTCAAATGTATGGTTTGCAGACATTTTCTTCAATTCCATAAGTTGTTTCTTCATTCTGTTGTTTCTTTTGTTATAAAAAAGCATTTTAATGTTTTTTATATTTTATTGGTGCATTGTAATTGTGTAATGCACATAATTACATAATGATACATAATGGTGAGATTTGTGATTACATATTCATACATGCACACAATTCAACAATATAATTTGGCCAATATCATTTCGAAGTACTTCCCCTTTCCTTCCTGTCGTCCCTCCCTTTGATCCCTTTCCTCTATTCTACTGATTTCCCATTGATTTTATTGAGATTCCCCCACATTTCTTTTCCTTTTTCCTCTCTAGCCTCCAAAATTTTCCCTAATTTTATATGATAGCATTTCTTGGATAGAGGTGAAATAATTTTGATGTTGTAAAAACAAACATATATTAGGTGCTAAAAAAAACAAAAAAGAAAGGAAAAAAAAAGTCTCTGAACATAATGCCTAAACATGCATTCTGAGTTTGAGTCTTCTTTTTCATGAAAAGAAAAGAAATTCTTTTCTTTTTTTTTCACATCTGCATACATGAAGTTTGTACAACAATGATGTCTCCTTCCACCATCCATGCAATTCCCCTTCTCCCTCCCTTTCTCTCCCACCCCTCTTCCCATACTCTTCGTCCCTACCCCATTTTGAGTCACCCCCCTTATATCAAAGAAGACATTTGGCATTTTTTCGGGGGGATTGGCTAACTTCACTTAGCATAATCTGTCTAATGCCATCCATTTCCCTTCAAATGCCATGATCTTATTATTTTATAGTGCTGAGTAATATTCCATTGTGTATAAATGCCACATTTTTTTTTATCCATTCATTCATTGAAGGACATCTAGTTTGGCTCCACAGTTTAGCTATTATGAATTGTGTTGCTATAAACATTAATGTGGCTATGTCCTTGTAGTATGCTATTTTTAGTTCCTTTGGGTATAGTCCAAGAAGAGGAATAGCTGGGTCAAGTGGTGGTTTTATTCCCAGCTTTCCAAGGAATCTTCATACTGATTTCCAAATTGGCTGCACCAATTGCAGTCCCACCAGCAGTGTATGAGTGTACCTTTTTCTCTGCATCCTCACCAGCACTTGTTGTTTGTCTTCTTAATGGCTGCCATTCTTACTGGAGTGAGATGGTATCTTAGAGTAGTTTTAATTTGCATTTCTCTGATTGCTAGAGATGATTAGCATTTTTTCTTATATTTGTTGATTGATTGTATATCCTCTTCTGAGAAGTGTCTGTTCAGGTCCTTGGCCCATTTATTGATTGGATTGTTTGGGGTTTTTTGGTGCTTATCTTGTTCAGCTCTTTATATACCCTAGAGATTAGCACTCTATCTGATGTGTGAGGGGTAAAAATTTGTTCCCAAGATGTAAGCTCCCTATTCACCTCACATATATTATTTCTCTTGACTGAGAAAAAACTTTTTAGTTTGAATCCATTCCATTTGTTGATTCTTGGTTTTAATTCTTGTACTATAGGCGTTTTATTAAGGAAGTTGGGACTTAGCCTCACGTGATGGAGATTGGGGCCTACTTTTTCTTCTATTAGACACAGAGTCTCTGGTTTAATTCCTAGACCCTTGATCCATTTTGAGTTAACTTTTGTGCATGGTGAGAGATAGGGATTCAATTTCATTTTGTTGCATATGGATTTCCAATTTTCCCAGCACCATTTGTTGAAGATGCTATCCTTTCTCCAGTGCATGCTTTTGGCATCTTTGTCTAATATAAGGTAGTTATAATTCTGTGGGTTAGTCTCTGTGTCCTCTATTCTGTACCATTGGTCTACCAGCCTTTTTTGGTGCCAGTACCGAGCTGTTTTTGTTACTATTGCTCTGTAGTATAGATTAAGGTCTGGTATAGCTAGCGATACCACCTGTGTCACTCTTCCTGCTTAGAATTGCTTTAGCTATTCTGGGTCTCTTATTTTTCCAGATGAATTTAATGATTGCTTTTTCTATTTCTATAAGGAATGTCATTGAGATTTTGATCAGAATTTCATTGAACCTGTATAGTGCTTTTGGTAGTATGGTCATTTTAATAATATTAATTCTGCCTATCCAGGAGCAAGGTAGATCTTTCCATCTTCTAAGGTCTTCTTCTATTTCTCTTTAGGGTTCTATAGTTTTCATTGTAAAGATCTTTCATCTCTTTTGTTAGATTGATTCTCAAGTATTTTATTTTTTTGAGAATATTGTAAGTGGAGTAGTTTTCCTCATTTCCTTTTCAGAGGATTTGTCATTGATATACAGAAACACCTTTGATTTATAGGTGTTGATTTTATTTTATTTTTGTTTGTTTGTTTCTCCAGTCATTTTTTTATTGGTTGTTCAAAACATTACATAGTTCTTGACATATCATATTTCATACATTAGATTCAAGTGGGTTATGAACTCCCATTTTTACCCCAAATACAGATTGCAGAATCACTTCGGTTACACATCCACATTTTTACATAATGCCATATTAGTAACTGTTGTATTCTGCTACCTTTCCTATCCTCAACTATCCCCCCTCCCCTC